CTCCCCATTTCAAAGCTCCTAGATATTCTACTGGAGATGTTTAAGCCATTGGTTGCATGTACATTAAGGCTCATGTGCGCATCATGTACACTCTTCAGAATTAAGTAGGGATTGCTTCCTGATGACCAGCCAAATTCACCGCTACATGTATCCCCACTGGAATTAAGTCTTCACACTTTCTAGAATAATCCTAGTCGAGTTTCCCACCAAGAAATCCAAATCCAAACCATCCAAACCATATGCTTTGCATTTCAAAATCAATGAGAATAAAAAAGAAAAATTATACAAAATTGAATAAACATCGAAATAGCAATGCACTACAGCTGCTACATAGGGATGGAATTCAACATAGCCACTAGTGCAAACTCAGTGGTCTAGTGGTTAAGACACAAGGCTAGTTATCTGGAGGTCATGGGTTTGATTCCTACCTGCGTCACTTGTGAGATTTCGTTTCTCAAGTTTCTGCAAATTTTACATTTTAAAATGTTTTTAATGATTATTAATTATTTTAAATTGTTAGAAAACTTTCCAAATTTTAGTCACTGTTGTCCTGGTGTGTTTAAATGTTTTTACAATGTTTTTTTTTTATGTTTCATGTTCTTTGCCAGTGGAAAAAGAATTTCCATTTTACCTGTGATTTAATGGACAAATAAAGTTTGATTTGATTTGAACGTACGGAGAATTCAGTATGATAACACATCAGGTAGGGCCAAACGTCATTTCCATGGAATTTCAGGACACAAAAAAATGACGACACAGCAGGTTTTTTTATTTAAAATTTATTTATAGCACACTTAGTTTCAATAATTTGACATAAAATGCTCCAGCATCATGGTACCTAAATACTGCAAAAATAACATTGCCTCTCCCTCACATTTACATAATAAAATACCTTTACGTTTAGTAGTTGAATTGATATAGTATATGTCAGCTTATAGGCTACATCAGTCACTCAGAAATATTTATTACATTTTAAAAAGTGTTTATTATTGATACAAGGCACTTCGTTCGATAGATCGCAATGTTTCATTTTACCCTGTTATGAAGCTTCTAATTAAACAGCATGGTTCTTTTTTAGGTTCTTAGCATCAAATATACGATTCTCTCTCTCACACTTTAACATTTTTTTTTTTTTTTTGGTTTTAAGACTATGATGATCAAAAACAATACATTTTTAATCAACTAGGTAAACATATCATAATCAAATATTATGATCAAGTAAAATTATACAATAATATAATAATTATTCACCTTTAAAGAATATTACAAATTTAATTCATGAGATGAAATATATATTGTATGGCAGCATATAAGCTACATCTTTCATTCAGAAATATATATCACATTTTCCAAAGAGTTTATTATTAATGAGGACATCTTTTCTTTAGGCACTAAGAAATCCAAGATCTCGATGGAAAAACTCTAAGGAAACCTAACAGAAACTATGAGAATTTCAAAAATAGGGTTTCAAATGTCCCTTTGTTTTCTAGTTCTGCCTTTGATAATACATTTTAGGACCTAAAATTGAGATGTTCAATATGATGCATAGCCAAAATCATTCCACCTGACCAATTGTGGTATCAAAATAACCCATCAATGTTTGTCCAACAATCTAGTATTAGTCCAATTTCTGTGTCCACTACTTTTTTTTTTTTACAAAGATAAGCTATGAAACATTACATACTTGAATTATATAGTGGTTTATTAGTGGCTGATTCACAAGTGGATTCAAAAATATGGAAGTAGAGGACCATTTTTTGTGAGCCACAACTAAGTCTAACACCAGTTTTGGCTGTTAAAATAGGTAGGTCCACCATCACAATTATGGCCTGGACCAATTGTGGCTTGACACTGATTTAGATTCTTGATATTATCTCAGCAAATATTTTAGTAATTTACTGTGATACATCATGCACAGGGTGATTATACATTATAATAATAATATCTACTTTATGCAAACAAAGAATAGTTTGTAACACAGAATAGTTTGTATCGCTGAACAGGTCTTCTTCTACAAGGCCAGGAATACAGTAAAAATAATGCCATGAGTACATTAATAATAATAATAATACTTTCCATTGTGTTGGGGCATTTTGATAATTTATCTACCAGTAATTAAATAACTAAATTCATACATCGCATAACACAGTCCATGAATAACACACAACAATATAAAACCCCCAAAACAAACAGTTGGAAATTTTTTATACCAACAAAACCACTATTTAAGTCTATACTATGTAAGCTAAAAACACACATCATGTCTTAAACAATACTTCCAAATTTTTAAATAAAATTTCAAAACACTTTAGAAACATACAATATTTGATAAGCGAACAAATACGACTTAATATACTTTGCAACTAGAATTTAACATTTAAATAAAAACAAAATTCAGTAGAAAAATAAATGATATACAATACATAAAAACTTTCTTTGTTACTTATCCAGTTCAAAACTGGAACTTAAATTCAGGGGGTAATAATATAAGAGTATATTTCAAAAGGAAATACAAAAAAAAAAATTAGTTAAAAGGGAGGTGCAGAGTTAAAACTTCTAGTAAAAAATGTGTAGTGTGCTTAATTATGATCTTATCGGTAAATTTCACAACTTCTCCAAACTCGGAAGTGGAGAATGCTATTGTTTGCATTAGGCGCTTTATAAAATTATTATTATTATTATTATATTGCAAAGTTAAGTCAACAATAATAAATAGGTAGTGCTATTACTCGACCTACACAGAGCTAAAGCATGGAAAATTACTGAAATGGACTGACTTTAGAAAGTCCACATTCAACAACTGCTATTAATAGCAATTAGTTATTTTTACGGAAAATCAACCAATCTTTACATCCGTAGGGTTTGTATTTCACTGAAATTGCTAATTTTTCAATTTAGTATTTTCAAAGTAGCTAGAGAGATAATTATATTTACAGATATCTGTCCAGATGCACATAGTTGTGTAGTCAAGGCCCAGGACTGAAATCATAATTGGACTGCCAAGTCAGTGAAAAAAAGTATTTAACCCAAACAGTATGTCAAATAATTGGGAATTTAATTTCTCCATTATATTTGCAAAAACTTCATTGTATTTCTCAAATAATTATAGATGATATATTAGGGAAAAAATCTAACTCTGCACTTCTCATTTAAGGAACAATCTTAGCACAGAAAAAAAAATCTATAAAAATGAGATGTACTAGAAAATGTTGAGAAAATTAAAATCTTCAGAAAAATATATTTAAAAAAAGAAAAATATAAAAAGCTTGATTTCCACTAAGTTGGGGTTTCTTTTGCACAGTGTTATTCTGCCTTATACCAGTTAATACATTATCACTTATGATAGCAACGTTATTATATAAACATAACTAAGTAGTATAGTAGTTGACTCTGAAAGGTACAGTAGATACATTTTTTTATATAATTAAGTAGGTTACTTATAACAGGCTAAGAGATACATAGATGAAATGAAGTGAAGTATAAAAAATTAAAAATATATTATACAACTTAATAAACATAAAAAATAATAAATAAAATATAAAATTATACAAAATTTTCTATAGCTACTAAAACCCCACATCAAAGTAATTAGAGAGTTATAGATGTAATTATTTACTGAGTAATTATAATTATATATTGAATATTGTTGGGGAAAATCTGTAAATTTTATTCTTTAATAAGTTTTTAATGGAAAACATAGTAAAATTGAGTAAAATAATTTTTCAAGCACAGCCGGATGAGACAATAAACAAAAATACAAAAGCCTTACATTGTCCCCTATATATTAAAGTAAGCAAACAAATAAAAAAAACCCAAAGCAAGAATAATAAACATGAAACAATAAAGTGAATTCTCATAAATAAATTAATTGAGAAGCTTCATTTTTTTGCTAAAAGACCAATCACAAAGTCAATATTTTTAATCATGTGATTCAATAAATATTATATAATAATCCCTCTTGTAGATTCAACTGTTGATTTCTATGTTAAATGTTAAGGTATAATTCACAAATAGCACGAACATTATGCAATCTTTCTATACATGCTCTGTGTAATAGTCTTGATTATGTGTTCATATCTTAACCTTTGACATACATATTTATAGTTGAAACTAGAAGATAATTTATTGCTTGCAGCAAAGTCTCAAAATATTAATGAATGTGTATTCAGGAGAAACATGTTAGAAAAGAAAAAAAACCCTATTGATTGATTGACGGATTAAAAAAAAAGTGATTAGAATACCAAATAAAATATATATGTGGAAGAAATGGAAAGTTTCAGAAACACCCAAGAAAGAAAACCAAGCAGAGTAAACTGAATTGCCTGCAACACATGAGAACTATAGCCCCTCTTTCAAACTGTTCCCTTATTATCATGTTAACATGAAAAATATTGGCATGGAGTGCCAGAAATTGCCTGATGGGAAAGAAGAGCTAAAATAATCTTTCATTTTAATCCTATATGGGTTTAACAGGAGAAATTTCATTCTGTTTCACTTACTTCAAAAGGTAAAAATCTCAGCATTCTTGGGAAATGAAGTTTGAAAGAAAGAGGCTATAATATCATCCATGTTTAGCAACAATTTTAGCATCTTTCAATTAGAAAAATATTGTAGTCAGCATTTAAAATATACCTTAGAAATTTGTTTTACTATGGACTGAAAAGCAACAGAAAGAAAATAATAATATTAAAAACATTTAATGTTATGAGTAATACTAAAACACGATAATAAATCAACAATTAAAATGACAATTTTTGGTTAATACTTGAATTTTGTATCCTAATAAGCAATACTATTATAATAACAGGAATAAAATAAAAGCCAATCAACTAAAATATAACTAAATTATAAGACAATAATACCCTATTCAAACTAGCATTGCATTGTGATCAGTTGTAGCAATTGCGACACCCAATCACTATTCACAATCATGTGAGAAAGCTCACCAAGTAGTCTATAAAGTAATTGATGTCGCAATTGTTACCTGTTGCGATTGGGCGCTACAATCTTATTACTTCCGATTATCACGGAATCCGATCACAACAAATTCCACAGGCACTGATTGTCTGTCAACATATGTCTAGCCAACAAAGGCCTAGTACCTTTTGACTTCCCATTCCAATAGTTCTTTGTGTCTGATATGATCTGAATGTGGTCATTGGTTACGATCGGGAGTAATCAGTTTTGGATTAGAACTTACTAACATCACAACCGATCGCAACGGTGTCTAGTCTGAATAGGGTATAAGGGAAAACATCTCTCTATATTATTCAAAATAATTCACAATTTCATTTGTTAAATATGTTACATAAATCTACATATAATTTTTATTATTAAGGTTAGATTTTTTCTTGCCATCAGAGAGACGCTGTCTAACTTGACTTGTCGGAGCCCTGAAGATTAAAATTTAATACTTAATTTAACCAATTTATTCATAAATTATATTTTTTAATGAGTACATTTTCATACAAAATATAATTTCTCTAAACATATGCAGTTTGAATTTATAAACATTATGGTATTTTAAAAGTTACACTTCACCATAGTTACACACATTCACAATTCACTTGTCCAATTCAAACTTCACTTATAACCTACATATTACTTCAAATACTTAAATGTCACCAGATGATGAAGCATCAAAGAATTGACTAAAGATCATCGGAGACCATCATAAAACACCAATATCAAAAGGTCATTCGAGGTCACACAAGACCATACTTTACAGACTAACACAAATAGAGGGCAGTTTATAGCAAGTATTTACATATCAGGAAACTTTGTCTAAATGCTAAAGCTAAAGTTTTACAATTTTCAAAAGTTACACGTTATTCCAAAAATTTACATCAAAAATATATTTTCTCCCCCTAAACCATGAAAGTACTAAGGTAGTTTGAGCCAGACTTGTACAAAGCTACGATAAATTTAAGCTTCATCATAGTTGAAGCTCCATGTTAATACAGTAGAAACCCTCAATTATGAACTTCACTTTTAAAATTACCAATTTTCAACCCTTTATAATGATTTCAAAATACTACCCCCTAATAATATTAATATTCTTCTATTTTACAAATTTGCACACTTATTCAAATACCCCTCTAATTTCGGGACCCTTCTAATTTGAGACCACTTTTTATAAGTACCACATAACAATCTTCAGTCTTTTAACACAAATCGAACCCTATAATCTGAGACTGAACCCTAACACCACACCCCAAATTGGAAGGCGAACTGTATATGCTTGTTTTTACATTATAAACAACGATTCAAATAAAATAAGGATACTAGAACGAGGATAAATATTCCGTAAGAGGTTTTGACAATCTTGGGCTTGATTTTGATCTAATGACTATGAAGTAGATAGGCAAAAGGGGCAGGATGAATTTACATATGTTTAAATCATTAGTATTTTATTTTACTTAAAAAAGTCTCTTTTAAAATCCAAAATTTTCAAGGGACCCAGGGTATGATATTTGTTAAAGGATGGTTTTTATATTCTATACAGGAAATACCATCCCGTTGCTATGTCTGCCTGGCAATTATAACGGGCAAAACCTAAGTTTGCCATTACCTTGCCTAGGTAATGTACGTCAAAATTTATAGTAATTTGATTTGACCCTGATGTTGCGTACAATTTGCAAGCACTAACACTTTCAGGCCGATATGTAATTGAGGGTTTCTACTGGTTGATTTTTTTCGCCGCTGTAGCAATACAACACATCAACATTCAGCAGATGCAGGTGAATATGCAAATATCGTAGCACTGCAGATTCTCTAATAATAGGCACCTGGCTTTAACATGCCTAATTAGAATAAAAGCAGGTGGTGGAATGTCCTGGTCATACATTCCAATATATGTGCCTTACAAGTATTAAGCTATGCAATTGTATTTTGCTATCGGACGTACAGAATTGTTATGTAAATGATGAACTGGAGCGTGGAGAAGATGATGAGGAATGTTATAAAGGACTTCATGCCGTTTCCACCACGTTTAACTATTCGAAGCGGTACTAACACACTGAAAAAAAAAAACAAGAGATACATTCTGTGTTATCTTTAAACAAATAAATGTTTGAAATAGAAAACTTGCAAATTTTATTTATCTTCGTTTGTGAGAAAATGGAGTAGCTATGACAAAATTTCACCTATCAACATTCAACAAATATTTTTTCCTATGTTCCTTAAATTAATAGGCTAACTATGCACATTAACTATGTTTTTAACTTTGACTATATTTCTAAGTTCCTGATATTAGTTTCTATAGCTATACTTTTTACTAGCTCATTTTTTACTAATATTTTAACTAGGTTTTATACCTTTTATTGTTTTCTTACAATACATTTCAACAATAATTTTGAATACTAGATTTTTATTAGGTATGTTCTTGAACACCTATATTCATGTTGAATCCCTTAAGTGGTAATTTATTTCTTAATTGATGAAAATAATATTAATCATATTTTACACATGGTTGCACAAAAAAAAATGTTACTGAAAATTGAAGTAACCACTTATTTCTCACCTTTTCACAAATATAAAGACTATAGTAGAAACCACAAGAAATTGTACAAGAGTAAACATATTAGGTGTTCCACTGGAGAAAGAAAACATACAAAATCGTGATTAAGGAATTCATATAATATTCACACTTATCAAATGCAAAAACATTAACTTACTGATTTTGGTGTTTCATTTAGGGAGACAAAATGAAAATTATATTAATATTTATTAGATTTATATAAAATATGAATAATTTATATGCAAACATTATTTGATAAAAGATACTGAACTATAGTGTTTCATTAGAACACAATATGGCAATATTCCTCCAATTCCATGGTGAATCGATTGATGTTTCAGAATTTTTATTAGTGTGGGATTCGAACTTTTAAATGAACGTCTGGATGTAAAATATATGTAAAATATTCATCCTATGTTCGCTACATCGGTATGGTAATTTATTTCGGGGTTCGGCGCGGCAGGTTTGAATGCTGGAATCCATCAGTTGACAATAGTACGTTAGTGCGGTTAGTCGTGTGTTTGATGCCATAGGATGGTTAACAGAGTTAAGGTAGGCGTATTTTTTGTTCTGTAATGAATTTGTTTGATCATGAAATGAATTGGTATTAGTATAGTAGTTAAAAATAATTAAATAATCCAAAAATATATATGTTGATGTTAATAATTATATTTGTTATAGCTGATGAAGTTGTGATAATGTAGACTATTGCATTGTTCGTGGTTGTAGCACTGCTTTATTAGTGGCAATTACCTGTGTTAATTAATTACTACTATATTGAATATTTTATGTTTATTGGAAAATACAGTAGAGAACCCATATTTAGTGGGTACTTCGTTGTTTAATTCTGTAGCATTATGAAGTACAATTTTCTGTCATTGTGAGAACTGGGATTGGAAGATTGAGTACCGTGTCGTTTGCATTGTTAAGCCTATTGTTAACCTGTAAGTCAAGATGGCCGATTATTTATTGAATTGCGGTATTGTTGTATATGTAAGATTGATAATTGTGATTCATATGACTATTATATCTTTGATAATGTGTTGATTTAAAGATAAAATATGCTTACCATAATGTCAATTCTATAATACATGTATACAGTAGTTGTTGCTTGCTAATGATCAATATGTCTATTTGCTATTTGTATAACGTTAAATACTTTTAATGATGGTTAGTCCTATTGAATTACTGTATGTATTTAACTGATTCGGATTTAGTATGTTAATACTGTGACTGATATTTGTTGTTGTTTTGCAGGGTTATGATTGCCATTAACTTGTTGGGGGTTTTTCGTTTTCGTTTTCCTCCTGTTGGAAAATTTTGATGTTTTCACTGTTGAGTGACTCCCTTGCTTCAATAAACGAAGTTGAACCGTTCAGCAGTCGTTTTTGTGTCCTTATTTTGAGAGTGATGACTGGCAGCGCGCGACATTAATATTATCTGCATGGCATACAGAAATGTTTAGGCTGCATGCTGAGTGAAGCTGTACCTTTGTGTTTAGCATGCTTCCCTTCAAATTCTAGGGTCCTAGGTTTAATATGACAGGAATTTTATCATGAACAAAAACAACTCCCTTCCTTTTTATGTAGAACATCTTTGTGTGTATGTTTTGTGCAATGATTGCTATGTAGATAAAGTGGTGAAGTTTGCTATTTGGCATATCCTTGGTTTGCGTGCATAAAATAATATAATATTTATAGGTAAACAATGATATGTGTTTAAATTATATTGACTAATGCAGTTTCAAGCTATGTGCAATCTTCAGGTCTGTGTGAATAGGCTATAGGTATGTAGGTGTGCAGTTTGCAGGTGAATGAAAGTTGTTTTGATTAGGAACAAGTACATTATAATTATTGGGCACAAGAATTGTAGAAAGTGGAGTGGAAATATGCAGTTCTTGATGGTAGGTATTTGTTGTGGTGAAGACAGGATCAACTCAGATTGTTTGTTCTATGTTTTGTTGCAGTTGGATGCAATGATGTAACACTTTTCTGCTAAACATCAGTTGGAGTGCATAGTGATATTGTTGTATGGGAGTGCTTATTGAACTATGCTCCACTTATTGGTGAAGGGAGTGTTGCTGTCTTTGACAAATATTAATAATGATAAATGTTTTCTCTTGCATAATGTACAAGCAAAGCGGATAGTTAAAAAAATGCTAAAGGTAAAAAATACCAGCAAGCTCAAAACAAGCTAAATAATTCTGATATTAGAGATAGAGGAATGCAGATAGAAAGTGTTCTCTCAAGACAACTAAATTAAATGCTCTTAAATTGCAGTCTATAAAACACCTACCCTATTGAATTTTCGGATTCTTTCGAATTCAAAGATTCTTGCATATTTATATGCCGGTCCATTCTATCATGTCGTTGACCTTCGACCCTTCTTATCCGCCTGTCAATTGGCTCATTTCTTATATTTTCATCTGCTTTTTGGTTAAAATGTAGTTTTTGTGGCTGCTCCTCATCACTACTTTCGTTTGCAGCAATTTTATTTTCTCCGTCTTGAGGATCATTTCTCTCATCTTCCTCTCTGTTCTCTTCTTCCTCTATATCTGCATGACTCTCATACCTATTCGCTCTCTCCGCTCCGTCCTGTGCCTGCGCCATATTGATTCTATGTCTCTTTTTAAATTCATGCCGGCCACCAGGCTGTGGGATATTTTTTATGTCTTCTCCAAGTTTGTCGAGGCTAGTTTCAAATGGCGTCGACGGTGACCACTTCGATTGTAATTTTAATTCGTCGTATGAAATTTCAGTCAAATCCTCAGTAAACCAAAGTCCATTCAGATCATCTGCAATAAAGTACCACATTATGAACAAAATATATAAATATAATGTTGGGAGGGATGAACATTTTTACTCTGAATGAAAGTTCTGTTAGTGTGGATAATGAATATCACTAAGACATAACCAAAATAACACCCTTAATCTGGATGGTTAGTTGAGGAAGGGTAAGTCTTTTTATATATTCATTCAAGTTAACTGGTATCAAAAATTAAATAAATTTATACAAATTCCAATGAAGATGGATTGATTCACAAATCTGCAGACAATTATTTCAGAGGTGGCACCAGGATTTGACAGATGTGGGATCCAAGGTCCCAGATAGGGGGGACTGATGTCCCCGACGAAAACAAAGAGGGCATGGTCGGGCGTAGCTCAAAATATTTCGTAAGCGGTCCAGGGGGTGATACCCCCAAATATTTTGAATATATATAGGTTTTAAAGGCTTATTTAATTGATTTTAGAGTCTACTAATATGTAGAAATACATATAATTTTTTTTTCTCCATGAATTGTGGTTTTTCTCCACGACGGGGGACTAGCTCTCTTCGATGCCCCAGCCCTCACCCCATTGGCGCCCACCCCTGAATTATCTTCAAAACCAGTTTCCTTCCTCAAGTAACACAAGAAAACAATACATGCTTACTTTGTAATTCTATATTTGCATAGTAGTATATTTACCTTTTGAGCGTTTGAAGTCAAGCCAGTTCTTACTACCTTGCTTGGCCAGGAATACTTGAGTGGTGTAGGGGAAGGGTTCCTTGACACCCCTTTGAAATAGTGCAACAGTCCAAAGCCCAGCCTCCAATGCTCCGCAGTTATTCAGGGTATTTACATAGCGCACTGTGTCAGACTGCAAGAAAAAAGTTTATATCTTCACATAATGCATTTTATCAGACTGGTCAACAGAGTATGCAGACTAAATTTCTATGTTCTCTCAGAACAATTAACAATAAATATGATGGATGATTGATTGATTAAAACAATATATTTATTATGGAATTGATATTTAGATAGGGCACAACATGTAAGCCAACAATTAAAAGATATTCATCAAAGTAACTTTAGGATAATGTCAATATTTGTTTTTGTTCTGATCTGTTGCAATGCTGAATGGATTACTTTCACTAGATATAGAAATAAACAAATAAATTTTACACAAATAACATCGTCTACCTTCTAAGAATGATTTTATTTGTAGCTAAAATAACCAGATATGAATTGTATGACATTTATCAGTAATTAAACAGATATATGACAGATATTAATTACATATATAAAAGATGTATAACAAATTACCTCTGCCATCTGATGGAAAATTACCTAATTCCTCATAAAAATTAGCATAAATATGTAAATTTTTTATGTTTTAATTTTTCCCAAATATTAACCACTGTGCAAAAACTCTTCCACCACAAGTCGCACACAAGCATTGATAACAGGCAGACAATGTAAATTTAGAGGTAATTTTTTATAGAATTTTGCAAATTATATTAAGGTTCACTTACGACTTGTACGAAAGGCCCGGGCGTGTTCCAGGTGATGATCACATGAACCAAGCAGCGCACTTCACCTTCTGGGTCGATCAGTGTTGCGTTAAACTCTAATGATTCTTTGCTCGGACTTTTTGAAGAATATCTTGCAAATGTGAAACTGTCTGGGTTTCGGCCTTCAAAACTTTCATCTGGAAGAAATGATAAAACAATATGGATATACATGATACCCACACGGGTGGATCCTGAATTTTTTAAACAAGGATGCACCATTTCGTGTAGGCCTAGTTGCAATGTTATTATACAGATAAATATGTATCCAATAATGGTATGATTCGTGTTCAGTATATGTTATGAAATACTGTAACATTTAGTATTAGTATGCCATCTTTTTCTGTTAAAAGACGGCAGTGGCAATACTTGAGAAAGTTCCCCCTGTGACCCCTACTTAAATCTGCCAATGATCTATGTGCAATTGCGTATGTGCAACGGGTTGTATTCAGTCCTATGTATGGATGGGAGACTGAGGATTGCCAACAAAAAAAAAACCACCTCAGTAACTTGTAAACAAAAACCAGGATCTGAGGTGTTATGGTATCTTCAATCAAACTCCAAAATACTTCTTTGAAAGTCACCATTAATACTATTAGATCTTCTCCTTGGATTGGATTTATTCGGTTTCGGTGTAAACACCAAGGATAACCCACGAAAGTCTAGAAGACTTATTTCCAGTGAGGTTCTTCTGGTGGTAATTGGGCTGTACACCAGGAGACAATCCCCTACTCTTTTCTGAAGAGTGTACTGCGTTCTTTAACGTGCACATGGGCCATAACGCACACAGGACTAACGGCTTAAACGGTGCGCGATTGTAACTAGTATTTCAGCCCTCCAGCTGAAACACAAAAAGAGGCAGCGATGGAAATTGAACAGGGGACCTAGAGATCGCCACCACAGAGCGCACACACAGTGGCTACCACCAGATTAGCCGACTGAGCTATGCTGCTCTCCACTTCCGTGTGGACCAGCTGTTATTCAGTTTCAGGAGGAAGGTGTTCATCAGTTATATATTAGACAAACAATAAACATTTATGTTACCTGGAAGATTTTCAATCTCATTACATTGTGGAGACTCTGGGAATTTATCGTTCAAGTTGAAATAAGAACGCAAGAATAACGTAGTAGCTCCCTCTTGTTCCGTTGGGTTAATATTCATTGCCTGCACTTGAGTTTTCCTGAATTAAAAATTTGGATGAAAAAAAATTAAAACCTTAAAATACAATTAAGTGTATAAGGATTCATGAATAAAAATGTAACACATAAAAAGGAAATACAGGTCTCCCTGAATGAAAAACCCATCCAAGTAAAAACCATTTTTCTGTGGTCTCATATTAACAAATGCAAATGTCTTTTATTTTTATTATTCTAATTAGAAACCAAAGCTGCTAAAGACCATGTAAAACCCCAGTCCTAATAGTGGTCTTCAATTGGAAGGAGACCTGTATGATCTGTATTGAAAAAATGAAGTAAAAAAAATGTGAAAGTGGACAGAAGTAGCAAAATCAATAAATTCAATTTAAATTTATTTATTTTAAAACTGCCTTCTAAGTGTACTGCTGCACAAGAAAATAACAACTAGTAAAGAAATATTGACAATGAAATTAAAAATAAATAACTATGAATATTAAAAATATTGAAAAGAATTACATGAGAATATTGAAGATTGAAAATTGATGTGCAATTGTATCACACAATAATAAATACACTATACAACAAAGAATTTTTTAAAAATCAACAAAAATAAAAAAAAAATTTCAATCCAATAAAAGAAGTGTCTTTAGGTGTCCATTAGAATATATGAAAATTAAAGAATAAAAAACCCTCATCAGAGAAATTCACATTGAAATATCATTTCCAGACAATAATAAATACAGTATATAACAAAATAAAGAAGGAAATAAAAAAAAAATCAAGAAAAAAAAAATCAATTCATTAAAAGAATTGTCTTTGGGTCTCCATTTAAATATATTAACACTGGAATACATTTTTCTAGTATACAATTTCCAAACACTAATTAATACAGTATACACCAATATAAAGAATGAAACAAAAACACAAAAATCAAGTAAAATGAAAGAAAGAAAATATTTCAATTAATTAAAAAGAAGTATTTTTGGCAGGTCTCCATTTAATTATATGAACATTAAAGAATGAAAACCCTTGTAAGGGAAATTCAATACTGGAATAAAATTTTCTAACAATTTCCAACAAATGAAACAATAACTGAAGGAAAAGAAGGAAAATACTAATCATCTGTAAGATTTTTTTTAAAGCATGTACAATAGGAGGTAAATAAGTGCATTTCTGAATAAGAAAGGGACAAAAACCAGCAACTTCATCAAAAAAAATATTTTAGTAGATTTTATCTGGTTACCTTTTGTCATTATCATCTGGTTCTTTGCTAAAATTCATCAAAAGTTTTTTTTTAAACAAATAAATAAATGTTCATCATTATTTAACCTTCTTTCATTTTGTAACAGATTTAATTATTAAATAGTTCATTTGTTATATTTATATTATAGATATTTATTGAGTAAGTTTTGAATGTAGAATATGATTTATTGTTAAACATGCAAGGACCTGTTTCATGAATATCTCTTTGACATAGGACTGGCACTTCCTACTGCTTGTGGAAATCTGTATATATAACAGGGACTGACAAACCAATCATTTTAGTACTTAGATGTCTCTCAATAATGGGGTGTCAATATTATGTAACCCACAATTTCATCCTCTAACTCTGCCAAGGACATTTTGTAATCCGAACATTTCATAATCAAAGTATTTTAGGTTTTTTGAAATGTCTGTGTTACACAGTTTCTGCAAACAGTTGCGTATCTAGGAGTGAAGGAGAGGGGTCGATGAATAAGTAAGGGGGAGCTAGCTAGCAAAATGAGGCGATATGATACGTGAGCATAATTTTTCAAGTGGAGGGGACGGTGAATTGGGGACACAAGCTTTTTTTGTGGGGGGGGGGAAACACTCCTAGATACGTCATTGTTTGCGACATCTGGATTAAGAATGTGTGCCATGCTACAATAATACAGAAAAAATCTGACAAACCTTTTTTTATTGAGCGGAATCGTCGTAATGTGAAGCCCCTTAAGATGCCCTCGGCTGTAACACTGCGTTCGACTTTGTGGAAGCTGCCAAAAAAATTTAGAATGATTAATAAGCACTGATTCTCATGAATATTACACAGGGTATGTGTTAAGTTTGTACAATTGATTATGGCAACAACGCGATGTCTATTAAAGGAAACCTACTGATATTAAGTTAGTTTATACAGAAAATCATTAGGCTTTAATTGTATATTTAAGTAATTACATTGTAAGTAAGCACCTCAACCATTCAGGTTTTGGATGCATCTTACATCTAAAAGTAAGTTTCAACCATCCAAGGCTCTACATCACCAATACATGTATGTCGCTCAACCAATCAAGTTTAGGCCAAGTACAAAAATAAAGTAGTTTCTCATCCTAATATTTTGAAAGGAAAATGAGAGAACTTTCTTTTTACTCCGAGATGGCAAATCCAAGATGGTCAATGGGAAACAACTACTACTTTCTCACTTTTACCAAGCAGACGCATTGAAAGAAAATAAAAGCACATAGGCAGATACATACTGTATGTATCCCCTACCACAAACAATCCATAGAGGAATTTTACTGGTTCGAGTTGTCAGATTTCGTAAAATAAAGGAAATTAAAAAAAATAAAAAAATTGGTGAGGCAGAGAAAATGGATGCGGCGAGGGGACGAGAAAGTGCAAATACAATACCATTCAGGCTTCATAGAATTTTTATTAGATTCTCCCAAAAAATTATTTTTTCAAAACTACATTTATTTTTTATAGTCATTGCTTTGTCAATATTGACATGGAAAAAAACATGTTGAATTGGCTTGATTAAAAATAAAGATCCTTCATTTTCAAAGGGTTAGCATTGATAATCCAATACTAAATAGAAATGATTATTCAAATTTAAAACATTGAAATGGTGTTAATGTTAATGGATTCTAAGTCTGTGCCATTAGGCTTTCCTTGGTCTAGAAACAGTTCCTTAAGAAAGACAATATCTTGTGTCTTCCTATTCTAATGATCTAATAAACTAGGCAATAATTAAGTCCAAGCTATTACCGAGAGATAATTAGGTTTTCCAACCAAAATAAATATAATGTTTTTTCTTCCGGATAGCAATTAATTATAGGCTGTGTCTACGCATGATTATAAGGATTTCACTGGAGGGAATACAGGTCAAGACCCTGTCGTCATTGCTACGTTAATTGCAACAGTCACGGTCATTTAGAGTTTAATCGTGTAGAAAATAATGCTATGACGAATGTCATTTCATGTCATATTACACCCATATATGGTAATATCACATTTATTTGTCACATAAAATTTGAGTGTGGATAGAGTCTTATGATTTTTTTTGGATAAAAGACCAATTATTCACTCTGACAGTCAAAGCAGTAAAACACGCCAGGCCTAGATGCTCAAGAATATCCGTTATACCTACATTATTGGTTTGTGAAAGTGAAGTAAAAAAAAAAAATTGGCATGGCTAGTTTTTACCTTAAATATATGACTCACTTTAATTTTCAAATCATTTATCCCGAACCTAAATTCCCAACCACGATAATTTGACTGAAAAAAGTGCGGATGGCTTCCGGCGGGCATAATTTTTACCCTAGATAAGTGACTGCTTTTTCACATTCGTAAACTCATATCTCAGCTCCGTTATCAGTACATCAAATAACCTAATTTCAAGTTACCTTGTGATGATGATAATAAAATTGTTCCTATTTATCTCAAATTCAAAAGGAAACAGGCCAAAAATGAAAGCAGCCCCAAAAAAGGAAATGTCTCCCCCATCACCCCCCATAGAAATTAAAAAGCCATCCAAAAAAAAACAAAGTGGTACCTAAAAGAGGGTGAAGGAGGGCAGAGAAAATTACTTTTTAAAAATTGGCTTACACTTGCCAAAAACAAGTAGATTGTTAAGTCTGTAGAGACCCTGCTTGACATACATATCTGTTACATTGAAATTTGAAAATATTCAGTTTGGGTTGTTCAAATTGACTTGTGGGTAACTATTACTAATATGGGAATTCCCCAGGTTACAATTGGATTATGATATATGAGAAGTTTCATTGTTTTATCATGAGTGTCATCAGATTGGTTGGGATGATGGAACAAATGCTCACAGTCTTTAATCTCCCTGTGATCTATTAGGTTATCCAACTTGACAGCTGCCGAGAACTAAGTTGATGAGTTTAAGTAAATTATCCTATCTTGAAAACAACCTTATTAAATTCAATTACATTTAAAAAAAAACCTTCTTAAAGGTTATACATACCATAGATGCTCGGAAAAACTTTCTCTGGCCACCAATAACTTCAACCTGTAAAATAAATTATTTACTTTAATAAAAAAAAAATACTAGTTATAAAATATTCTAAATAAGTAAAAATAAAATAGACATTTTATTTTTTGAAATTAATTATATTTTAAAGAATGTGGTGGAAATATTCAAGTAGATACAGGCCTATAACTAAAATTCCTAAAGAGGGATTACCAGTGGTGTACGCCCCTCCAAAAATTACTCGCGCCCAACCCCCAGTTTTCCCAAAAAAAATCACTTGCAAGTAGTTAAAAATCACCTAAAACCACCTTATTTTGAAAGTTAGGACCCCTAAACTGATCATCGAGCCCCCTCCCAACTTCACCTTTGCATCCCCCTCCCCCTATTCAGCTCCCCTGTTTCAAGTATTCTAGATACACTACTGGGGATTACAGATAGGAGCCAGCAGTGCTAGGCACCTTGGTGGGAAGAGCTCTGGTAGGGATTAGGGGACAGCCAAAGTACATTAGTAAATAAATGATAACTGATAGACATCACTGGATTTATTCTGTTTAAGTTATTGTTGTAAAGTCTTTTTCTGTGTTGATATATATTGATTGTGAAAACACAATTCCTGTTTGTCTTTCAGATGGGAGAGGGGGAATTGTCATGAATGCTAACTCAAAGCATCTGGTCACCTGTGGCAGACCAAATGTGTTTCCAGTTTACAGGGGTCCCAAGTTGGAAGACGTCATTTCTGGGAGATCCATTTAAATGAGCTTTCTGCACATCTAATTTTATTTTGCTGCTTCTGGTCATATCCATCAGCAGTGACTTTTGCGAGGCAAATGATATTAAGGGGACAATACAATAGAAAAAACATAGATTTAACTAATTTGCAGGTGATGGTTTTAAGCCTAACTTTAAACAAGGAAATATAGGAGATATACATTGAAAACGGTGTTTTCCCTATTGAAAAATTTCACTGGTAAATTTGTCCATTTAAAGCCATATACAGTAAAGCACGTGCAATGTGAGACCATGGAGGTGGTGAGACATTGCCTTTTTAAGTGGAATTCAATGGCTTCAAAAAATGATACATATAATCATAGCCTAGGCCTGGAATGGAATGATGTTCATTTATTGAAAGAAGGCCAGTCTAGGCTACCTAGGCCCAGTGCTTTTTTTTTTTTTTTATTCTACCAACACACAACTTTTACTGGTTGGTGAGTTATTATTACTGGTAACATTGACAGCTAAAACGTTTTCAGGAGAACACTGGAAAGACTGCTAATTACTTTTTTTGGCTTTGCCACTTATGTACTTTAATAATTAAGCTTGCATTACAATTTTTGTATAATATAGTATTTAAGGCTTTTTATCATCACCATTATCTAATCACTTTGAATGAGTAGAAATAACTTCTACAGATTTTGCTTCTTTACTTCAATCAAAGGCAAAAATGTAGTGAAAAAAATGAGGTAATAATCATTATATTATGGGCTGCTTCTTAAATATGAGCTTAAAAGTATAATTAATAACCTTTAGGATCTTGAACTAATTCACGACGGAGCTTAAAAAAATCGTTAGGATATCAATTACTCCTAGCACTTGCACTGTTGACAAGGTGTGATTTCAAGACAGACTAATGGCACTAAATTTCCTTAGTGAATTTAATCGTGTTGATTATTTTAAGACTTGAACTTTTAGCTTGGACGTCATGAAGTATGGCATTGACGTAACGCACTTCAATAAGCAAGTTCTCATGGTTTACATCAAACTAATGTGAAACCTCTAAGCAAACATAATAACCACAATACAGACCATACATTAGCGGAAATTTATAATTGTTGCAAAGCATATACTATGACCCAATTACTCAGTATAGGCAAAAGAATACTGTAAAACCAGGAAATTTAAACTTTCGCGAATTTTGCTAATGGCCCAGATTCGCGAAAGATTTATGCCGCGAATAATTTTACACACATCTGATCATCGTGAATGTCGAATCAGTTTCAGAAATGAGTTTTGGTCATTATAAATCACTGAATTACACCAAAAATTAATTTCAACTTTTTTAAAGATGATAATGAACAATAAACAGCAAGAATTGTTGGTATTTCAAGACCCAAAACTCTCCGACGATGATGCAATGCAGATCTAGGGCCTAGGCCTAAATGGAGAATTCCCACAAATTGCAACATGTTTGTGAAGAGTTAACAACTTCTGCATTTTAAAAATTGTATTTTTAATTATTTTGGTGAATTTTATTAAATGTGTATAAAAGAATGTATTTCAATTATTGAATCAATATTCTGACCTTAACTTCTGATGTTGGGCTAAAAAAATTTGTAAATTCTAGGCTTTTCCTAACCTACTCAGTAAGTATCCTGATCAGGAGGGTTCTGATCATCACTGCATGTGATTGCACATGTGCAACTGCACATGTGCAACCACTCTGCAGTGTATACAAAGAAGTTAAAATAGAAACTTAAATTTTGTACACCATGACATACCACCATGTTCAGTTATCATCAATCAATGTCTAGGAATATAATTTGTTAATAAAACACACGTTTTGATAAACATTGTTCATTGTAGGATGCTTGAATACCATACAAAATTTAGGAATATCTATGTATGAGCGAGTACTGCATTGTGTAAACTTGTCTCTTACTTAACTGTGCTGGATGGCCGGCTAAGTCCTGGTCCTCCAGCTGAGGGCTGCAGCTGCAGCTGTGACGAATTACCCATGCGCGTGTTAGTTGCCATGATAATCGCGCGTCGTGCAGTGATTACAAAGACTAAATTAATGATATGTTGTACTAACTTTAGACTGAAATTATATTCTTCATTTCAACATTAATTTTACCGATGTTGTGGTGTATTGTCGTTCATGAAACTCACTTCGCAGAAAAAATTAACAATTAATTTTCTGTATCTACTCAAATGTTTGTTTTGTGCACCTCAGTCCAAAATTGTCAAAATAACAGTTTAATGTTACATAAGAACATGAAATTTTTTTTTTAATTTTAAAAGATCAAAGAACTGTACGCACACGCTATGTTTCGAGAGCGGAGATGTGCATCCTTTTGTTGAATTGCCTTGGTCTAATGATCTAAAAATATAACTTTAAAAAAAATCATATTTAAACTTTAAAAGGACCCTTCAATAATATTAGGTTTTAGAGGCTATAATTATTGATTATATTCATTACAATTTACCTATTAGGCCTACCTATTTCCCAAACGCTGCAAGTTAAAAAAAACAAAAAAACAACAAAACAAACGCTTACGTATACGATGCACTAATGTACTTTTTTAAATCACATTTCTAAAGCAATAAAATATCGTCACGCACATTTGTGTTTGTGGTACGTTAGTTCAACTTTTATTGTGTATGTTTTTAAACACTTCATCATAACTTCATGAATACATTTTAGATTCACTTCACTGCAAGTAGGTTGATGACTGTTGTATTATTGAATGGTAATTGTTATTATCGTGATGGAATAGACAATACCTGGATTTGCGTCAGGAGAATCAATTAGGGGGCCTATAGGTATTTTGCCCAACATGTCGTGAATATGTATTGAATACTCAGTGCGTGATGCACTAATGTACTTTTTGAAATCACATTTCTAAAGCAATAAAATATCGTCACGCACATTTGTATTTGTGGTATTTTAAAGTTGGATCAACTATTATTGTGTACGATTTTAAACACTTCAGATCATCATAACTTCATGAATACATTTTAGATTCACTTCACTGCAAGTAGGTCGATGACTGTTCTATTATTGGATGGTAATTGTTATTATCGTGATGGAATAGACAATACTTGGATTTGATTCAGGAGAATTAATTAGGGGGCCTATAAGTGTACTGAATACTCTGTGCGTGTGAAAACACTTGCAAAAAATATTTGGAAGTTGTTCTCCAGTGGGACCCAAACCCACATTCTCCAGATCACTAGCCTGGCATCATACCTCTAGACCACCGAGCTTGCACCTGATGGCAAGGGTTGAATTCGAGCACAAGTAAGCAGCGAGTACTAATTTTTGCAAGTGTTTTCACACGCACTGAGTATTCAGTACATTTTCACGACGTGTTGAACAAAATTCCACCTATACATGTTTTATTGATGTTGTCAATATTATAATATATCATAGATTCATGAAATGCCTAATATGCCCTAAACAATAACATATATATATGACTTGACCATAGTTTGTTCTCAATATTCTTGAATTTTTTAAAAATATTTTTTAGATATTTCTGAAATGCCATATCTGTTTTAAAAAATCTCAGAATGAATGTATGAGCATTAAGAGTTTCGCCTGAGTAGACCCCACTATGGCTCTGTCTCTAGGTCCGATCAGGTGCATTTTTACCAATTTTACCTAGGGCCCGGCAGTTATCTATGCCATAATTACCAACCGTCATGCATCGTGCGGGACAGTCCCGTGTTTCAAAGTGATTTTGGATGAAACACTCATTTTGCAGAAGCACCTGCAAGATCATAAATGTGTCACGCATTTAGCACTTGCGTGATAACGAATTATCACAAATTCAGGGGAAAACATATTCAAAATTAGAAGAAATTGGTTTTATTGAAAATATAAAAACGGTCATACAATATCTTGAGTCATTAGAGAGCTTTCATTACCTCGTTCGTGAATCAATCCACAGAAAAAATTTCTCCTTTCCGACCAAAACAACCCAGCCAACCACGCACTTGTAGAATCTAGTAGTCGCGAGCAGTCTTGCGAGTTTATTGTTACAACCAACCGTTGATTATGTGACTGGAACCCGAACTTCAGCAGGGATTCCGTAATAAGCAATACCGTATATACTCGCGTATGTCCTATAAGGTGACCCGTGTATAAGACGACCCCGAGTTTTAGAAGATTTTTAGTTGATATTTGTGTGTCTGGCGTATAAGACGATTCCATGTTTCATGGTCGGAATTCCTAATTTTGTGTGGTCCTGATACTACATCTAGCTGGATAAATGGAGCCAAATGCAAGGGTAATCTTCCAAATATTATCATTTTATGAGTTTTTAAATCTTCACCATCAAAATCGTATTTTCCCGTATTTAAAATTGCTTTCATTCACACAACATTTAGTTGCTTCATTACAGTAGTAAGTTCGCGTGTTACGGACGATCCGCACATAAGACGAAAATGATTATAAAAATCTAAAATCTGAATATAAGACGACCCCCTTTTTTTCGATTGTAATTTGCTATTTTAAGCCTCGTCCTATTATATGCGAGTATACAATATTTGTTTTAAAATCCTAGGTCACCTGAGCGTTAGTCATACAGTGGCGGATTCAAGGGGAGAAATTTTCTATGGGGAGGACCCCGCCCCTTTCATTTTGGGTATTTTTGAAAAATCCGACATTGAGAGAAGAAAACGGATAGGCTAGGCCTGAGGCCCGACCCACAGCATGGCTACAAACAGTTAAGATAGCTAAACATATGTGTACACATATTCGTTCGCATGTGAAACTTCTCTAATATCAGAATTAAAACGTGAATTGCAAAAATAGCATAATCTGGATAAAGCTTTGGAAATACCTTAGATGGAAACCCAAAAAAAGAAAAGTTACAAGAAGGAATTGTTATTCTGATTTGTTATTAGATTTTTTTCTTTTCAACTTCAAACGTGTAGGTGGAGAGTAATCAGAGGTAAAAACATATTGAAATTCACTTTTCCCAAGAGATAGGGTTACATTAAATTATGGAGGTGGGCTGGAAATTAACAAGTGGAAAATAAGAAATGGAAACATAATTTTGATGGATGAAAAAGAAAATTAGGAAAAACCTTCAAGTTCTTCTTCTCATGGGTGCTATATAGATTAAAATCCAAGGGAGACCAGGTCAGGTACACAAGGTCATACATATGCATCTTCATTATCTCCATGTGATATTCTTTATTAAATGAAGCCAACATATTGAAAACAAAATCAGATATTTTCAAAAAAATATCATTATAAAATATTTTACCCTTGAGAGTAAAAAATGCAGCATCTACGTGATCAATCTTCTTATAGAAATCTCAGGATACAAATAAAATTCAAGGATCAACCATTGTGTTTATATTGCCAAGTTGCAGATGATAAACTCAATAGCATAAAGTGCATACTTCTACCAAATGCAGTCATTTATAGAAACAGACAAATGAAAAAGTGCTAATAAATCCTACTCCATCAAAACACTAACCATAGGTACATAACACATGTCATCAGAGGACTCATCGTGTCAACAATACGTATTTATGATTCTAGAGCCAGGCATAAAATATAAGATTTCTTTTGTCTGTCAGACTTAACGAAGTTTTTCACTGTCAGACTTTATCAGTTTAGGTTTTTATGCTGCCAACAAAACATTCAATACTCAAAGTTTGTCACGCTTTGTTACTTTATGTTTGTCTGTTGCCAACAAAACATTTAAAACTCAAACAATGTTTGTCAGACTTTGTTAGTTAATGTTTGTTGCCAACAAAACATTCAATACTGTGCAATAATTAGATTGCTGTTGTTGTCTGAGTAAAACAAAACTATGTCTACTAATACTGTACATCATCATTCTCCAAGTGTTAATTTAATAAATTGGACAGAAAGTCTTGAGATAAGAATTTTTTTATGATATTGGAGAGTGAGTGCTCCACCAGTTGTGTCAATGTACCAGAGAGACATTCATCTTTCAGACACATTTCCTCAGCTGTTCTTGTCTGTTTCATCCAATCTCTTCTGGAACGAAAAAACCCTCCCAGAAAGTAGATTACCTATACAGTGAGGTTTCTTTAGAACTTTACTTGCACTTATCTGCTTCCACTTTATAGGAGCCAATTTTGCCTTCAAAATAAGTTTATCTTTCACATCTGGGGTAGAGCTGCTCATCCCCAGACATAATCCAATCTACAGTGGCACCAAGAGGCAGGGGGAACCAGAGCAAGTGCCTTGGGCACGGGCCCGGCAGGATCCCGGGATAACTAGGTAAAAAATTATAAAATAACATAAATAATCAAAGATTATTAAACGTATACATTTATCCAGTATCATTCATGTGTTTTTCCCACGAGAATTGTAAATAAAGCTGACCATTTATCAATGAAAGCTGGTAATTAACACATTGACTACCAGACCCTTGTTTAAGGTTCCTTCCTGTGTGCCAAATCAAGTTTACTGCACATGTACAAACATACTTTTTTGAAGTTTTATCTAGTCATAATCATCAAAATGATGTCTAATAAATTGGCGGGAAAATATTAGGGCACTGTGATCGCACTTTTTTTTTCCAAGTGCGAGTTATCTTGTCCGCTTTTTGCATGGGTTGGTATATAGTTTCGAGGGGCAGCGAGGATGCCCCAGGGCCTATGGCCGCTCTCGGCGGCCCTGCCGATCTAAGGCAATCCGTCTCATAAAAACCCTCTCCTTAAATCTGTTGAGCTCCTCTGTTATGCTTTTGCTCTCTCTCAATATTTTGTTTTTTTAATTATCGTTTTGCAAAAATTACACATACTGTATAATGCCACCCATCTGGATCTCTAGTAAAAGTACATATTTCTGCACATCCCCATTAGTTCCCTCTTTCTTCTACACCATACCTCATTCCACTTAAAATTTCTTATTACTGGTTCTTGACTGTGAAATTATTTTCCACCTCAAGTCTTTTCTATCGAACACTACAATTACAACATTTCAAACACTAATAAAATAAACATTTCACTTCCTGAATCTAACATTTCTTTGTCTAAAGAATAATATTAGTATAAATATTATCTGCTACCAAAAAACAAATATTTTTCAAAGAAAAAATATCCCTTGTTTATCTTTGAGGTATCTTTGAGGAAGACAACAAATTTAAATGCTACACATCCCATTAAAAATAACATGTTACAAATGTTGTGCCATTGATTTATAATTGACTGACGCAAAGGAATGATTGAAATAATGCGATTAAGATTATATCTTAATGTTTGCGTACAGAAAGGTGTGGTAACATAAAACAAAATGACACACTTAATAACAAAGTGAGTAATAGCCCAACGGTACAAATGCTCTGCTGCACTCAAACACAAAGGAAATAGAAACCTGGATCCAGTTGTCATGTGTCACATGAAGATAATTGTTGGGGTTTTTTTGGTCTTTAAGTAGAATTGTAAAGAAAGAAATAGGAGTGGTCAAAAGGAAATTCAATAATGCACTATGGACTTGAACTGGAAATAGGATCATTCAGAAAGTAATTCATTCCGCATCAGATTTCAAACTCGAAAATTAAGCTAAATGGCGGTGAAATATCAAGTTTTCATTTCAATCATATGAGGAAAAATTGTATGAATACAGTATTAAGAAAGTTTTCATTATGGCAGATGAGATGACAGGGAGTAAAAGGCTTAAGGAAGGTGAGATAAGAGAAGTGTATTAGGTCTAAGGCAGGTGAGATGAAAAGAGCTAGGCCTAGGACAGATGATGTGTGAGACTTATCATGACCTACTGGTGCAGGCCCTTAGAAGGTGAGATCCATTAGAGTAAAAGGTCCTCAGAGGAGGTACTCTGAGGGAGAGGTCCCTTAGAGTGTCAAGTACATAATAGGGTGTGGTCATCGAAATGAGTGAGGCCCTCAGAGAGTGCAATGCACAGAGGGTAAAGTTCAAAGAACTTGGAATCCTTCAGAGAGGTGCAGGTTTCCCAAAAGGCAAGATCCTAAAGAGGATGAGGACCTCAAAAGCTGTCCTAATGCACATTTTCCCTAAAGCTCCCCAAGATCTTGCCAGCTTAAACTGTTATCAACATAGGTTACAAAGAGAATTTCTTAACATAGGTAAATGACTGGTGGATTTTGACTTACTGCTGAAAAGTCTATCCAGTACTTGATCTCCTTGTTGAGCTGGTTCTTGGTGCTGTAGATTGGTTTACAGCACGGATCTAGAGGAATAACTTGCGGGAACACTCGTACCTTCAAAATAGATTCTAGCATTATAGTGTCTTCCCAGTCCTCGCCATACTGTTCCAATAACGCTAGTTCAGCAAGTTGTCTACAAATAATTCAAATAATATATTTGGAGTGTTTTTGTAAAGTAAAGTGGGTTAAAAAACAAAGAAAATTCTTAAAGGAATAATTAATCTACATGGTGATATGCAAACTTACTTTCTTCAGTTAAAAAAAATATAACCACATTTATCATAGTAACAGTAAAAATACTGACACCAAATAATACTAATAAAAAAAACTAGCAAAAATAACTATTGCAAATAGCAATGATAAAAATATTATTTATAAAGTAATCACAATTTCTATGGAATTTCAATATGGAATGGAAACATGATGGCTTCATTCAACATTAGATGGACATACTGTAATCTAAAGCTGGCCACACACCAACTTTGGCCACATCTGCCCACAAATCTATCTTTGTTCTGTGAACACTGTCTCTGATATTCGTTGGCAGTCTGAGCGGATCATAATTATGGTATATAGTGTATAATAATAAGTGTTTAAAAAGTGCGCATGTCACATCATGGAAATACAATCTCCCGACGACCGTTGGCGCAGTGTGTGTGTCCATGCTTTAAATGAATGCATAGCTGAATAAATAGCAAGTTACCGTATAAATGAGTCACTGATGCCATGTTTACTCTGTAGATTTTTGTAGTAAAATTCGGTGGTCATTCTTCCGGCAAACAATCTGGCAGGATCCGTAACTTTGGAGCTAAACTTGCGAGCAAAGAACAGATTATTAGCAAGATCTTGAATAGCATCAACATCAGTTTCCTCAAATGTACCAGGACCCTGTAATTAAACAGATAGTGAGATCATTATTTTAAATATATAGACGTATATTATTATTGTTCTAGTTTATTAATTAATGTTTAGTTTATTGGCTACAGACAGCATATCTAAACATTTATTCATTTTAACTTCACACTGGCAAAAGACGTGTAACAACTAAATATTTACAATAAAGATAAAGTTGCCGGAGATAGGAAGAGTCCTACAGGCGAACATAAAACACTCTCATAGCGGCCAATCCCAAATTGCAAAAATTACAAGAAGAAACAAAGAATGTAATAATATTTATTTTACCCTTTATTGAAAACTTTTGAAATAAAACCTTTGATAATTTGTGAATAAGTATTCATTTTCGTAAACAATTGCTTTTTTCAATTACAATTTTGTTTTATAGTTTCAATTGAAAAAAATTATTATTTTACCATATAATTTTCTAAAAGTTCAAAAATGTTTTAAAATCATAAAGAACATGAAATCTAAAAACTAAAATATTAGTAAACAACCTTTTAAGTATTATGATACATTACTACTCGTAAAACATGCAGAACATATCATTTACTGTAAGAACCAGTAAAGGCCATATTGAATAGATATGCAATATGCTGTAATATTAAAATGTAAAATTTAATAATGCATTTGCCTGATCAGATATCAATGACTATTACCCGCCTGTACAAATATGATCACAAGACTAAATTAACATACAAATTTATCATTGGCATATCTTGGAGAGAGCATGGGAGCACACCCCTCTCCCTAAAAAACTTTGGCTCCCCCATTCCTTATTCCTTCCCTTACTCCTAAAAATGCTCAAAGCAAAAAAATCATGCTTATAAAAATCACCTAATATCATGTTATTTTGAGAGCTAACACCCCCTCACTTTAATCATCAAGCCCACACTTCACCCTTCACATCCTTCATCAGCCCCCCCCCCAAAAAAAAGTTTCAAGAATCTTGAAATCTAGATACACTACTGCATTTTTATATATTTTATTCTTCTTTTATAACCACCTAGTATTTTTAAGATATACTGTCTCAGTTGTGAACAAGGTGAGCAATAAAATTCAATATCAGATTAGTATATATTTTTTTTCTGAAGATAAAAAATAAAGTTTAACATTGGAATCAGGATGACTTGCATGAAATTCTTCACAATTTTTCCAAATGTACTGCAAGACATGAATTTAATTGAGAATTGCAAAAAAAAAGAAATTACTGCAATTTTTTTACATATCTAAATGAATTACCAAGTGATAAAATGACTGCACAGGTATGACTTCAAAATCTTATATTGCACTTAATGCATCAGATATTAAGATTATTGCGTTATCGAACGTGCAATGCTGGAAATTACTTGTAGGATGAGGACATGAAATGCGTTGGTGCAGTGATAAAATTTATGCCGAAATTACCAATTAGGCTGAACATAACTCCATTTGTACTAAGCCGCTTGATGCGGATTCACACTAGAACTATCCCAATTTGTGGGAGAATTTGAACTTGAGTTACTCCACATGAGAATTGTTTGTACGTGCTCTTCAACGGCAATTAAAGTAGGATTTTGAATGTGCCAGGGATAGTAAACCAAGTACCAAGGACGAAGTGCAAATTCAATTTATCAGCTAATGTACTTGGTAAATGTTAAAGCCATAGGAAGTGAACGGAAATGTCTGACATCCATTGTTTATAATTAATTTATACTACATGGAAACAAAATAGATAAAACAAACAAATTTAACTCAAAATATATGTGGCAAAGACAAGCCAAACCAGTCACTCGTCACAAATTTTGTTTCAGAGAAAATGGCCAAAACAAGCTGGAATGTCAAATTTTAAAAAATCTATTTTATTGCACTAAACTAACCTTTATACATGTACACATCATTCTATGCTATTATTTTCCCCATTTTCAATGTTAAAACAACACTTTTTAAGGATTTAAAGATAGTTGTTGCATGAGAAATACCTGAAATCATAAACTTTGAAGGCTGATTTCTCATATATTGTTCTTTAAACAGCTGTGTGTTTAAATGCTTGTAACTTCATAAGGAAATGTCCGATTTGAATGATTTTTTTACCATTTTATAGCTATTATTTTACTCTCTAACACTGTATTAATAACTCAAAATCGATTTTTGCGACGAGTGACTGGTTTGGCTGGTCTTTGCCACATATTGTATTAAGGGTCATTCACAATTTTCAACAATTTCACAAGTGTACAAACAGTACACCGGGGAGATGGGTATATATATCTGTACAATTTCTTTGACCAATTATAAGGTAACCAATGGATATAATATACATTTTTATGTAACCAAAACAGTACTTTAGTTGATTTCACAACAAATTAGCGAATGGATTTTCAGAATCAACATTTTTTATGTAAACTTTCAGATGGGAGCGAGGGATACCAAAAAAGTACTGTTTGTACACTTGCGAAATTGTTGATAATTGTGGAAAACGCCTATAGTCAGATGGTAATTTGAAGTACTGTAAATTCTTTTACTTGGAAACTTTCACATCACTGCAAATTGAAACAAAATTTTCCCCATCGATTCTTGGACTATGTATCACCTAATGTACTTGTAAATTATTGTTTGTAATTAATTTATACTAAATGGAAAAAAAATAGATAAAAACAACAAATTTAACAACAAATATCTCTTATAGTCAGAGGGTACTGTAAATTCTAATGGGACACTTTCACATCACTGCAGATTGAGAAAAAACATTTCTCCATTAACTAAAAAACAGTTAAATAATAACTTTCCTGCATTCTTTTACATAGACCCTCAAATAGGCATGGTAGTCAATTTAGGGATTTTTGTAGTAAAATGTCTGTAAATACGCAAAAACTAATTTTGTTTTTTACCTGTTTCTGAAGCTAACTTATCTGAACCTATTCACTTTTTTAAACTATCATCAAATTTGAGGTTTTCTTTGTCATCTTTAATATATTACAGACAATTAACCTAAACTATCAATAATGAATGAGTCAAATATAATTGATCATCTCACCTGACCACAGAAGTCTATATCTTCTGTGTGTCGACAAAAGCCACGATCATCTTTTCTTGCAAACTGCTTCAGATGATGAAGATTCATATGTACAAACTTTTTCCTAGGGGGGAAAAAAACATGTAAAAAAATTATGTAAAAAATTACAAAAGAAATTTTTATAACAACATATTGATCAATAGTAGCTATCAATGATCATGATACATCATTTATGTAATTTACAGAAATATATACGTATAAAATAATATTTTGATATTAATGTATTGTATCATTATAGTGTTTCATTTGCATAATATTTTATTTATTCTTTGGATATATTCAATACAGACATACTCATATCCCAAATGGTCCAGTTATTTTTTAACAAGGTTAAGATATAAACTTACACAATCAAAATACAAAAAAAATCATTATATTAAAATAACCAAAACAACAAAACAAGTATATAATAAGAAATTTGCATTTTCGAAAACGTTCAAACTCAAATTAGTTGCATTTTTCAATGTCATTTGGTAGGTTACTCCATTCGTTAGCAGATCCATTGTATATTGAAAATTTCTTTTTCTACCATGATATTGTTCCAATTTGGTATAATTAATACACTGGATGGATCCCAAAATATGATTTTTACAAAATATCACTGCAGCAAAATTTATACTGTAGTTATTAATTAAATGGAAATATATATCTTGATTTTAAAAGCCTATGATCATTCACTGAAGATAATTGAGAAAATTAAATTCTTTAGTGAACAGGTTGGCATAAAAATGGGTTGGAGGGCTGAAGTGAATTTTTGATTTAACATCGACGGCCACAACTAATCTTTGATTTTTCAATGTGTTTCCAAAGACTGAATGGACTGCTTTATACAACTTTATGCTCAGTTCTACTACTACTTTTAACATGATTGGTGTCAGGCCGTAAAAAAATAAGATTTCCAGCCAAAGGCGGTTGGCGACCCACACACACACAGTTTGTAATTTATTTTCGCAGGTTGCAACAAAATCACCATTGGGCCACAATTCGCCACACACTACTTATATTTAATGTAAAAAAAAAATGTTATTCATGAGACAAACTTTATCTTTGCAATGTCAATACAACTATCAAAGCCCCAAGTATTTCACATTATATTACTACTAAAACCTTGAATATGTCAAAGGCGTCTAACAGATTACATTTATGAGGGAAATTGCAACAAATGCTATTGTACAGCCCACTTTTCCAAATGATAAATCGTTTTAGTTACTTCCAGGTTAATTTTTCTTTCGATACACTCCATTAGGCGACGGTTTCAAGAAAGTTATACAACCAGAATCACCATCAATCTTTATCAACCTTCATTTATAAAGAAATTAATCATCCTTGATGTATGGAGATGTAAAAAAAGAACATAATCAATTTTATTAACAGTGCATCTTAAAAGAACAACAACACAAGTCTAGACTATTGTATACATTACTGAAATTCAGGTGATTATTTCAGATTTTTAACTCTGTCCAGACCATCATTTGACAAAAAAATGTGACATGCCTAAATATGGTGATGATGACATCACATCATGACCATATATAGGCACATCATGACTATATATGGGCATACAACAGACAATAATCTACACAGAGCTTCAATACCTAAATGAGCAACTTGTCTATTTAACAAAGATTCTGCAGGTGATATGAAGAAAATACGAGAATTGTTTGCCACTCAAATCTGCACACATTTATATTTATCCAGTGACTTAATATCAAGAACCAGAAACTCAAATAGAAAAGCAGAGACTTAGAGAAGGTATTATATTTCAAAACCATGTCCAAAATCTAAAAAACATAAACTCCTAATCCACTTCTTTCCTCGCTAAATCGTCAAGTTATATCCACTATTACGGTCATTAGGTAATCCTAGGCTTGTTTCAGACTACATAACGCGCCATTAAGGACGAACAGAGGTATCAAGTATCCACGTCCTCTATTTATTATCAGAATTCTCTCTGTTCATCTATACTGATGCTTCTTACTCAATCGCAGTAAAAGCCAGTGTTTTTCTAGACTTTCATTAAAGAACAAGACCAAAATAAAATCTCAGGAATTAGAAATTTGACAGATGCAAAATGCAGTATAAAATATATAAGAAATTGATACGGAAAGACACATGTATGTTTTATTCAGTTACACTCTGATATTCAATTAAATGGGACTTTCATTTTTTTTTTTTAAATTTTAGTTTTATCTAATATCTTTAACTTACATTCTATTTACAATTACAATTTACAATCAGACAATGAAAATCAAGGATTAAATTGAAACCAAATAAAAAGAAACGCAAACAACCGATGATAGAAAACTGATGGAAAAGATATTTGACTATGTAAATCTTTACATTGACCGGGGTTTATTTTTTAATTACGGTACCAGTATTATTCATAGTGATTAAAGGGAGGCCCAGCCCTAAATTTAAACAAAAATTGAGGAAAAAAGAGTATAGACCCTCCATCTGTGAAAGTCCCTCACTGGGCCCCCTCTATTTCAAATTCCTGGATCTGCCACTACCTTAGATATTGTTGCTAAGGTCGCGCAAAATAGCAACGTAAACACGTGTGCATTTGTGGGAAAACATGTGCATTTGAAGGACAACCATGTATTTCTAGACCTGTTCTGATTGGTCGTTTGTAAAGTTTGATTGAAACGCTGGAAAAGGTGCCTTTGCAAGAAAATATCCCCTGAAATTGAATTCAAACACTTATCTGCTTGTCTCTATACAGAAAGATCCAATGAGATGCAATCAGTTTTTACCGATTTACAGACTGTAAATCCATACTGACTATAAGCAAATTTAAGGGTCTATGGAAAGAGTACCGAAATAGTATAGTTTCACCAACTCATGTAGGTTTTTACTACTGCTAGTCCATCACAATACTGGTGTAAGGTTTCTAAGGAACTGCACAAACTTTGTAAAGTGGATGTCAAGATACGCTTCTTCTAGTCAACATTCCCAACAACCAAGTTATTGTAGGAGCGTGTGGCGCAACGTGTAAGGTGTTGGACTCCTGATCGTGAGTTCGAGACCTACACTCGTCGCATTGCTTATGCCCTTGGGCAATAAGGCACTTTACTCATTTTTGCCTTTCTCCACCCAGGATTATTAATGGGAACCTGGTAGGATGATGTGGAATTGTATGCATTAGTCTGTATTGGAATTAATTGCTCGCACAACTAGGAATACTCCCCAGGGAGTGGAGGAGGTTGCACTTGGTGCTGGGTTGATTATGGATCGATGACCAGGGGTAATAACAACATCACTAGTGCCTTGTATCCCTTGGCAAAAGGTGCGGTATAAATCTCTATATTATTATTATGCAGGCAACATATGCAATATGGTAACTACGGGAAACATCCTTGGATTATTGTAATCACGGCTATTAAGAGGGAAAAATATGGTCTCTTAATCTTATTTAATTGGAAGCAAATTACTTTACATAATCATAATAATATGCCATTTAAACACTGATTAGCTCAATTTAGACAGTATATCTTTAAAAAGATATAAAAGTAATTTGAAACCAGAATAGGTTAAAAAAAAATATGCAAAAATGTGAATTTTTAACAAAATTCAGAAAGGCATGAAATGGGCAAATCATAGCAAAAATAAATTATGTCCAGAAACAGATATCTATCTATTACTAGCGAAAGAAATAAACTGACTAAAATAACATGGAGGAACCAAAAAGAGATTCATTATTCATCTACAAGCAGCAAATATACAGTAGGGGCTCATACACATTAATGAAATTGGCATCAAGTAGCCTATAATAACATCAATAGCAGAATTAATGAAAAGCAATCGGAGATGCGAGAGACTCAAATCAATTATAATAGTCAAGGACCTCGGGCAATCAATTTATATAAAAGGCATTTTTTAAAAATAATAATTTTTGTTAGGCTAACAAATATTATGGTTTCATTATTTATATGAGCTAGCCATGCGTTTTTTTCTACATGCCTCTATACTTTCTACAACTATTTCTTTTACAAAATTCTAACATGTTAAATTGCAATGAGTGTTGAGACTATTTTAATCTACCTCTCATGATGAATAATGATACACCATTTGTCTTGATATCTAATCCACAATATTTTAGATGACATGTACTTTATGGTATATTTTTATCAATATGCCATTAGTTTTTAACATCTTTACTGAAAAACACCCACTTGATGATCATATGCATATACCATGTAATATATCTAAACTCCAGCCTAGATTTTTTAAATGTTATCAATGTACTTTGTATTTAAAGCATCCAAAAATAAAAAATAAACATAAACATAACTAAAATACTCAAATAAATAAAAATAAATAATTGAATACAAATCAAACAGATTGTGTATGCTTTTGTTCAATAGTAAAAATTACTATTATTTTACCAACTATAATTCTTATAATCACATTTGAAAACCTAATATTGTTTTCAAATAATCAATCATCTTTTATTTTGGAAATTAAAATCCATATTGTACAACAAAGAACAAATATAATATGTTGAATATGTTGTACACTACCAGGTCCTACGTTAGTGAAGCATCTCAGAGCTTTGATTGTACATGTATGCAACCCAGATTTTTTTTTTTAAATCGGATAGTTGATTTGTAACAGAAAAATTTGAACAGGTCCATCTATCTTTTGTACTGTACAAAGATACTGACTGAGATGCAAAATATCAATTACCCTGTAAGATAGATCCACCACCGCATTCCTCTTTTTATCAACACTTTATTGTTACCATCCCATCACACACAGGTGTGTTACGCTTGTGTGCGGCGGATTTTTCTTTTTGAAGACGTGACCTTTGAAGACTGAGGAAAATACCTGTCATGTTTAATAACTTGTCCTTGAGAAGATAAATCTTCACTGCAGTAAAGAAATCATTTAACCAATAAAACGGCATTTTTCATGTCTAGCGAGCTACCGAATTCAATTAACAAATTGAATGCATCAATTTTGAGTACGCATTCATTTTGTGTGGTGGGATTTATCAAATCTAGCTCAGTAGTAAATACGAAGATCATAAATAGCTCAGCAAATTCCTCTTGAGGTTGTTTGCTCAGCAAAATTTGCTTTTGCACACTAACCTACTACAGATTGATTCCAGTCCAGATGGAATGTAAGTTTTCGCCAGTCCCTAAACCATGAGTCATATTTAACTTCTTAGTAGAGATAAATGTTTGTCTTGGGTTTGGTCCTTTAGTCCTAGAATAGCTTATACCCCTATGAGTTTCAATTTCCAAATGTTGATTTGTTCCAACAGCCGTCTGGTCCAGAAAGGACTGGTGGAATATAGAATGATGCCAAGAAAAGAAAAATACGAATCAAACTAGCAGTTAAGTTCGTGCTTACTTGTAGGGCGAGACTCTTAGCATGGACATGAAGTAGGACTCATCCGGAATAATGGAGGTTTGAGTGTAGAGCTGCAAGGCATTCATATAAATTGTCCTCTCAGCTGGATTCAGAACCAATTGAAGATAATCCCTGAAAAATAATAACAAATGGTCATAAAAATCATATTATTTTATATGATTTTCATTCATTTACTATATTAAAAATTTGTTCTCCAACCTAATAAACCAGTGAGAACAGGTTTATAATAAACAGGTGAGCCATGTTCTTAACACATACATTGATTGGATACATTAAGAGGAGTTGCAGCTTAGTGACTAATAATATGTACTTTTGAACCCTATTGTTTTTGGGATCCAGTTCAGCGCTGGAAAAAAGTGTGTGACCATGTGACCGACAGCATCATCTCAGAGGTATTTTTTGGGGAAAATATTCAAAAAAGAATAAATTGTTGGGTTATATATTGTACAAATAACCTTTGGTGCTGGAGGCATTTTATCAAGACAATTTCATGGTTGAACATTTTTTTCCAGGCCTACCAGAGTTTTGGAGGTAGGCACATACTCCAAAATGGGAGTAACTACATACAGTAGCTCAAACCATGCCCAGTAAAGTAAGCAGATGGTTAATTCTTACTGAGCAATGGTCTTGTGCATATTTGAATGTATGACCTTACATCAAAACTATCCTACAATATTAACATTACTCTATATTATTTTTGGTTTGATGTAAAAATTAAAACCTTAACAATATTATATACAGAACAACATGGATCTATTAAAACATTTATTTTATGATCAAATAATTTTTTATTTTCTTGACAAGCACACCTTACCAGTGACAGCGTTTTTTATGCTTTTGCTTCTTCTCGACTTTTATGTTTGTTCAGATTTTGTATTGTTGTTTCTTGCCGAAATGAATAAAATATAACAACATTTACTTGATTGGCAGGACAGACATGATGACCACACATGCTAAAACCAGCTTTAAGTCATCCACAGTTGAACATATGACATGCTTTCTAATAGTCAGAAACAATGCTAACTTTTGACTTATTACACCAACAGTCATTAGCCTGATTAACAATGACAGATTTTCTCATTTCTACTGATAATGTTGTACATGTAAATTACCTGTTTCGAGTACTCATCAGAAGCTACTTAACACAATTTAGATAAGCTTCATCAGAAGTCAGATGATGCAGATATAGATCTCTTATTGCTTCAGTAAGAGATAATAACTACCTGCATAAAATTTCTGGTAATATCAATGACAGCCTTTCTAAAAACAAACCTAGAACTTAAACAGGATAATATTGCCACTTACGGAAATGGATCACAACAGTTTACACAAATCCATACGTTTACATTGGTACATGTCTACAACCATGTCGCTTTTACATCCATATATCATACTGTATATCTTTAATCATGCACGCCTCTATATATTCATATATATCTAGATTTACATGTCACCTTCCACATGTACAACTTCGGAGGTCTGTATACAGTATCCCTGCATATCTGTATCACCTCACACTTCTCTACATTCTTGCACATATCTTCATCCACAAATGTGTATGTTTACTTACCCATGTTATCATCTACTGCACATGTCTAAATGCCTGTCTTCATATTCTGACACATCAACATATCCATGCCTAACTGTTTTTATAAATGTCCACTTATCTATATATGGCACTTTACCTACGTTTGTCTTTTTCTCCACCCAAGAGTATAAATGGGTATGCCATGGTTCACTACTGGAAGGAAAAAGGCAGCGTGGAAAGGAACTGGCCACCCTGCCACACAATGACGAGGCTTAGTACAATGGGTTAACAGCTCATTCCCCTACGTTCAGTAATGAATCTAGGACTACCTTTACATATCTACATACGCTGTTGACAATAGATAGATGTAGGCATCTATGGATGTAGAAGCATGTAAACATATATAGATGTAGTGATGATATGGATGTAAAAGTATATACCCATGTATAGGTGAAATAAATGTTTTATTTCTTGGCTGTTGCAACTTTTTATATTATTTTTTAAATACAATCTTATTTAGAAGTTAAAAAGATTGTTCGTAAGTTTGTTAAACCATCCACACCAAATCTAATACATCTATACATGCCTAAATCCAAAAATATCTACATACTGTACTTATAAATCCATATGTATAATTTTTATTTCATTAAGTCTAATTACAAATGTATACATCCACCCGTCAACACAGTCTGCACAGGAATGCATCCTAAAACAACAAAATTCATACATCCACCCCCGTCTACATCCATAAATATATCAATACACACTACATATTCATGTGCACTACACTAATATTTGTCAGCATGAAACAGAAACTTGATAACTTAATGATGTAATAGATACTAAAAAACACTCAAGATATTCTGACACAGAAAAAATAAATGATAAGTATCTAAGATGGAATAAAGAAGATGCAGGTGATAGATATAAAGCAGGATAAAATGACAGCAAACAGTTCTTGGCTTGTGAGTGAGTGTTGGCTTTAGTGATTCTATATCAAAAAACACAGGTTTATGTCAGTGTGTTCATGGTAGACATGATATTAAGGTTTGTTGTTTTTGTTTCATCTCACTTCACGCCCTCAAGAAAAGGGGGATGGCCTAGAAAATATTCTCTGTTGAGAGTGTCACTCAATTAATAACAATAATAATAGTTAAAATTGCCTAAGTTGAATCCAAAATCGAATTGAAAAATTGTTCGTCTTAGATAAAATTTGATTTACAGAGGGTTATTAACCGAATACGCAACAATTTGGCATGTAAAATAAGATCGACTTAGAAATTATTCGAGCTAGGCAAAGTTGACTTCGGCAAGTTTAACTGTAATAATAATGGTAAAATTAATGGTTATATTAATGATAATAATTATAATCATAAATATTTTTCCTTTGTTGCTCCTCTTTTTAATTTTACTGATTTTGTTTTCCTGTACTTGTTGCATGATGTATATTTATATGCTTTATATTTTAATGATATATATTTGTAATTATTGGATGGGAGTGGTTCTCTGACATATGTTATAGTAATTAAGTTTACTTAGAGACCAGGCCCTCCAAACCAGCGGTCTTGACTGCCAATAAAGGATAAGAATTAAAGAAAGAGGCAAAGGAAGGAAGAGGATGGAGAGGAAGAAAAAAACAGAAGGATTAAGGAGAAAGAAAATGGAAAATTACAAAAAATAAATAAAAATGTTGATATTTAGGCAAAGAATACAAATGAATGTTTAAATTTTTTATTTCTTTTCTATCTGGAAACAGGTCAGATGTCGCTATCAAAAGATGAAATGCGACCGAGTCACAGAAAAAGAACGAAACTTGAGACTGGGAAAATAAGAGCATTAAAAAGATAAATACAGTAAATAATAAATAAATAGATGAATTAAAATGAAATAAATGATAAAAAAAAAACTTTAAAAAAAGATTGAAACTGTTCCATGAGTTAACAGCAGTTTGGAAGCTGTCAATGTCAGCAGATATGGGGAAAATAGAATAAAGAAAAATGGTAGAGTTTAATAAATCTAATAGGCCTATAAAATATATTTTTATATAATTAGGCATGGTTTCCATTGCGATAAATTCTATTAAATGTTAATAAAATAGAGAGAAATCAATATTGTTCCCATGGAAGTCTAAACTTGAGATTCTCAAATTACACACATGAGTAGTCTAGAGACTGATTCACAGAAACCAGCATTATACAGTACACACTACCACTGATTTAAACATCCAAAAGATATTGGCAAGTGACATGACTACGATTAAATTTGATGATACAAATGTTTTGATATGCAAATTTTCACATACATGTAATTCATTAAAATGTTGATATGAAAAAAGATTATATATAAGAAATAGATAAAATGCAAAAATATTCAAATCAGATATGCAAATTTGAAATACAATTTGATATGCAAATTTCATATGCAGATGATGAACACTGGACTGCCTTTACCTGCTGAACACTGCCCATTGCGATGTGCTATGCATATCACTCCAAGGAGCCTTCCCGCTGCGGTATGAGATATTGTAAACATGAGCACCGCAGCCATACCATACTGAGGTGTCTGTCGGTTTCTGTGACCGATCATTCCAATTCCCGTTGATACGCATAAAATTAAAACCTGCAATATTAATAGAATCCCATGATCTAACACCTTCACCATCGAATCATAGTCTACATAACATAAACGACTTTCTCTTGAGCCATGAAACTGTAATGTGGATTATAAATAACAAATTAATATTTCATGATTTTACTATCAACACAATTGAACAACAGTATCTTTAATGCCAATGGGACGCTTTTGTTGCCAATATCTCCAATTAATATAGTAATAGAAACCAAAATCATTTTCCCGAAGCATATTATAGGAAGTAGATATAAAATACTATGCATCTTTACTTTCAAAAAGCAATACAAATTCAATATACTGATATGACATGCACGCTGCAAATTGATTATTTTCAGAATAGATTTCTTCACATTTGAAATAGAATAAAACAAGCCATTATAAAATAAATAACGCAAAATGTCATATATATTGCTCATTCATTCAATACGACAGTTTAAAATTATTCATTATATTAATTTTTATTTTTTTCTTAATTTTAAGACTCATCATTGAAGTAATAAAAATCATGGTATGAATTAAAGTGTGTTTAAAAACTATTAATACATTTGGCCCTTAAATTCAAGATCGTTTTTGGGACCTAAATATTTGGGGTGGTTTGAAGGTTCGGTCTTCAGGTTAAATTGTGATGAAAAGATTAAGATTATTAGTTTACTTTGGAAAATGTGTCTTGAATTAGTGTAGTCTCAGAATTCGGAGTTTTGAATTGAAGGTGAACTGTACTTCATTTTACACTTACCCATTGGATCCCACAGGCATTAGGAATCTCATTAAATATATTAAGAAAATTTCAATCACATAAAAAAATGTCAATAATGTTAATAATAATTAATTAATTAATTAATGTATTAATTATCTGGAATCATGGAATAATTCTGGTGGAGCTATTGTTTTAATTTTAGATATACAGTAGAGATTCAACTCCAATATCTTGATTATTTACCTCTTGCTGTAGAGAACATGGCAGCTAAGTCATCAACATCTCGAATTGGTAAATCTGCTCCACTTAAGTTAATCACAAAATCCCACACTCCCATTCTCATCAGTTCCTCAAAGCCCTGTAGTAAATGGGAAAAAAAACCCCACAAAAACATTTAGCATTTCAAGAAAATGTATGTATCCTTTAATGTTCTATTCTATATAAGTTTATGCTGTCACTGCATCACGTTTGTATTGCCATATTAACATTTCTACATCTCATTAGGCTCTTCCTGAGAATCTGTCACTGAATCATTTAAAAAATCAATATGATTGGCAGCCAAATCTTATTTAAATCTGCTTTCTTTTTTCAATTAGGGAAAAATAATAAATTGTAAATTAATTAATGTAAGGTTTGTATTGTTTTGAGATGGCAAGATACAAGCAACAAGAATATTTTAGGGGTTTTTTTTTTTGCTACCCAAAAAAAAGACCAAACTTTAAGATTACAACAAGTCTAACTGTGTTGTATTTTATCAGAGTACAGTACAGAAGGCAAGAGGCCCGATTATCCTGACTTTTCATGCACGCAATGAAAAGAAAAACGCAGCACTACAACGAAATAGGGGATGCCCTATTATAACTTGTTTGAAACTGAGTTTGAAATCCAAACAGGCTACATGAAGGATGCGTTCGATACGAACAACTTTTACGTGTATATCATCTCTTTCAAAGATGCCCTCTTTTTATTTCACGGTAGTACTTTCTGAGATAAGATTCTGTTTCAAAGAAAACCCTGACAGTCGGACCGATTGCCATTCTATATACCCTTTGACTATTTAGTATATTTGGGATAACGTACATTAGTGTTTTGGTGTATAATAATGTACCCATATAAACATTAAATATGGAATAATGGTAGTCCGCACAGCTCATACAACAGAAGCTTCAAGGCATATCTTGTGATTAATGTACCATGGCAATTTTTATATATGTAAACACATATAAATCACTGTAGTTGGTGTATATAATATACCCATATATACATTAAATAAGAAATAAAGGTAGTCATACATAGCTCATAATCACAGAGGCTTCTAGGCATATATGATTACCATGGTGAGTATGATATAAAACACATAATCACTGTAAAGAAAATAATTTAGTTCTAGTAAAGTAGAACATTTGACAGAATACGTGTTGAGCAAAAGGTTTAATTTGTTTAGCTATTGTCTGTTTGTCACTTTAAGTAGAGCAATATTGGGAAAGAAATGAGGAAAAAACTGAACACCCTGGGGCCATTATTGAAGAACAGCAGTACTGTATATCTCATTCTACAATGTATTCATTTTCTTAATAACCTACTAATACTCCAAGGTGGAGAAAAGCAATGTACCTTAAATGTAGATGATGTACCTGATCAATATTAACAAACACAGCAAAAGAATTGTAAGAATGTGCAGAGTTTACATGGCTGTTTTAAACAAAGCAAAAGTGCCCAAAGAGACATTTACTGTAGTCAAGTTATAAGTAGCAATAGGGGGGGGGGGGGGGGGGGGGGGGGGGGGTCAAGCAGTTCATGGTCTGCAGTATCAATGGGCCCCAAGCAGGCCCACATGGGTTGACAGGGAGATGTACACCTGTATTATTCGATCAGGGTTATGCACTCATTAAAAACTTGACAATGAATTCAATGACTTATCATTAAGTAAAAAAGAAATCCTTAGTGATGAGTATACCTTTAACAATTTTATCAAAATACAAAGTCAGGTTTTCCTTGTTTGTATGATTTGTTGAGTTTAGCAATTTAAAAGAATCAAAGGCATGATGTATGATGATGGCGGTGTGACGACGATAATAATGTTGTTTTGATGATGATGATGACATTGATGATGATGATGATGATACTGATGACAATGATGATGATAGTGATGATGATGATATAATGGTGATGATGATATAATGATGATGGTGATGACAGTGACATCAACGACGATGGCAATTTAATGACAATTATGATGGTGATGATGAAAAACAGAGATAATATAATGAAGATGATGGTAATATAACAATATAACTATGCTGTTATAAAAATAATAATACTCATATAAATAAAAACTTTCAATGCACCAATTTCATGAATAATGATTAAAGGTGCAATGTTGAAGCAAGGCTGTTAAAGAAGATGAGTTTTAAGTTCAGATTTAAATGTGTTAATAGAGTTACATGATGTAATGAAAGAAGGTAGTTCATTCCAAAGATACGAGGCAGCAGATGTTTGGCCATAATGTTGTGCGAAATTTAGAAACAGTGAGAGGATTTTACAAAGATCAAAGGTGACGAGTGGGTAAGTAGCGAGTAAGATGACTAGAAAGGCATGGAGAATAAAAACAACAATTACAGCGATTATCATCATTATAATTTGTTTTAGACGAGACTTTTTTTTATACCTTGTTTCGAAAACCCGCCCGACACCACACAGAATGTTTTTCTTATTTTTATTACGCCCGCAGCTGCCTTGAAATCATCAAAAAAAAAAATTACATTTCTCCTAATAATCAAGCATTTAACCATCCAATTACTACTTACTGTTTACATTAAACAATATAATTTCTTTTTTTTAAATTTTCTCCTCCGTTTTGGCAAAACGATTTTCTAAATAAGAAAACAATATTCCAATTTTATTTCTTTTCCACCCTCCTCTGACGTTCTTTGAAAAACATTAATGTCTGGGAAACAAGTGTCACCTTACCATTGTTTTGGTCCTAATAACAAGGCACAATTTGTATCTAATGTATAAAATTACAATAAAACAGGCCGTACAACTTGATTTAGTTTCAATTGCCCTATTTACATATTTGAAACATTATTTTATAAATCAAAGTTCCTGAAAGTGAACTCTAACCACAAGGGCATGAAAACAAACGCATGGAATGGAAAAAAAAATGGCAATGGAAAAAAAAATGGCCATTAGACATTTGTTTCTAGCTCTTCTAACTTACACAGTTCAAATCACAAGATAGTGCAGTGCTATAGTTTCTCTAATTACACTTATATTATGATTAATTGGACAAGACAAGCCTTATCGTCTATCAACGTTGACTAATTGTTTCCTTTCTCAAATACTTTCTCTCTTGCTCTACCATCATTGTGGTTTAATTTATACCTTTATTTTTCTTTCACTGCATCATTATATAAAATTAGGCTAAGAAAATTGAAAAATACATCCAATGTTATTTTTATCCTATTTTATGGTTAATGGTGATATCTTTCTATAGTGCAAAATAATTAGGCATCACACATGTATTGTAAGTCCTACACTATATAAGCCAGCATCGTAATATGTCAAATTAGGTTTTTCATACCAAACCAGCCTCTATGCTGCAGTATGGAGATATGTCCTTGGCTCGGACCTGATACTCTATGTAAGCTGGTTTTTGCCATTTTAGCCTCAGGCACCACCTATCCTAGTTTAAAACTGAAGAAATCTATGCAATACAAAGAGGAACTTCATAATCCTATTTATCTTATCCATGTGATATTGAAAAATGGGAATGCTTCTGAAATGATAGTAAAACATGGAATGAGATTAGAGCTGTGATTTAGTAGCCAAGTGCCTTCCTTCAAATCTAAATATTCTAGGTTCAACTCTAACATACACAAACATGATTTAACACTCTCTGTTATAAGAGCAGTGAATTAAGCTTATTAATTGGTTCTACCACATTATGATTTAGGTTCTTCAACAAAATTTGAGGTAAATTATGAGAAATTGTGACGTATATTTTATTTGCTTACAAGAATCTGTGAGCAGCTTATTACAGTATTTGACAGTACTATTATAATTATTATTATTAAAATTATTGTTTTGTTATTATCTTTATTTTTAATATTTCCTTTATTATTAATTGAATATATTTAACTTATTATTTTTTTTGGAAATTTTATTTTACTGAGTAAGTAAACAGTCACTCACTGACTTACTGCTAAATAAAGATTTACGACCATTTTATTTAAATGACTAAATAATACAAATAATCGTAATCGAACTAAGGTGCTTAATCTTTGATGGTATAGTAACATTCAAGTCCGTTCCTGTGATTTGGTACATTTTAAGACACAAAATTTAGGAGATATTGGAAGTACACCAACCAATAACGCTAAGCAGCAACATACTGTGCAATTAAAGACATCAATGGTGAATATAGAAAGACATTTAAACGATGTCAACTGCAAACATTAATGTCTTGCTGGTTAAGTTATAAACTGCAGTCATTTCCAAATGAACTTGATGTGCACATCTCTAGATTTGAGTCAATAGATGTGAATTATATTAAATTAACCATACAAATTTAGCCATGGCAATTCCACTACATTACCTTTCATTTAATGGGAAAGAGAGCATGATTACAAATGCGACTTTGATAGTACTTACTTCAAGCTCAGCTCTTACGATGTCGTACGATCCCCACGAAGCCACAAATGAACGTTCTTTTGGTAAGACGTGGATGTTGTCATTCCCATTACTGATAGAACCCATTTTGTCAAGCAATTCCTGGAATTAATAAAGAAAAAAAAAACCCAATACTGTTAAATTTCAATATCAAATAATCCGAATCATTCATTGGAATCCACAACTGTGGGTACCATAAGCTAAAAACCGAATTAAACTTAAAAATCAGTAACAGTACATCTGAGGGCACAGACACAGGGCTGATGGGGAGGGGCGATGTAATAGGAAAGTAAGAGGATACTAGCTGGTTAAATGTGGTACTATGAGGTGATTTTTAACTACTTGAGTGCAGTTTCCTTGCATACTATATCAGTAGGGTTATCCCAAATGATACATTATTATAAAAATATAAATCACAAAGAAAGTGATGGCATATAAAAAAGTGTCACTTTTTAAATAAATAATATCAACAAAATTGATGTGTTATAAGAATAGCATATATTAGGTTAGTATAATACATACTCGAAGTATCGAAATTCACGCCTATGTGTTGGAATTTAATATTTCGACATTAATTATGTCATCATCAGTAGGGTTATCTATACATATAATATACATCATAACAAAAGAGATGGTATATAAAAAATGTAATGAACAGAAAAAGATTAAGAAAATACTGATAAATACAGTGTCATATCTACTTTAGGGAGAAGGAGACATGGTATGCCCAGCGCAGAACAAGTAAAAGAACTGAGATGAAACTACTGTAGTAACGTTGAGGACTTGGTTTCCAAGAGAGCAGCTTAGAGGAACTATGCCAGAAGATGTCAATTACGATTGGATTACTAGAAAAACATCTAACAAGTTTGCCATTTCTCCAAAGGTTGCAGAACAAGGCTATGTGTGTTGTTTTAAAGAAACGCCGATGGGGGAACTTCGCCCTCATGTTGAAAAGGTTGCATTTGTTCCACATGTTCAAATTAATCATGTTTAACTTTAAACTTCTCTATTATAGCTTCCCATTTTCTGAAGCTCTTCGCTCATCTCAATAACCTTTTTGATGCACCTCATGGAGAACTAGAGACTGTTCATCTTAAAACCTCTGCTTTTGTCATTTGGAACTTGCTTCCATCAGCACAAATTGTGACCTTTAAAAAAAAATCACTTTTCAGGGGTATGTAAACATATGAAATGTGAAATGTTTGTATCCAAAAAAAGCTAAAAAATAAAATAAAATAAAAGCTAGGCTTCTATCATGCTTGTTTTATGCAGGTATGTTTCATTTCAAGTTTTATACCTGATTTTACCATATGGGCCTATTTGTTTTTTTTTTTAACCTATATTTGTATCATTAAATTGTAAATAATTATTAATAAAATCTTGCGTTAAAATCTTATGTTATACAGTTAGACACTGAATATTATTACACAATGACATGTACTGTTTTTCTATGTATAACTAGCAATATAGTTGCTAATTTTTAATCCCTTCTATCATGACCCACCAAAATATTTTGGCAGCACACAGGTAGATGGTGACCCATAGTATGCCGAACCTTGTTCTAGCCAACAACTGAGTCTCAGCATTTAAAAACTGATCAAAGGCTGTCTCTGGAGGGAAAACAACTGGGGGATAAGGAGGAATACATACTGTAGCAACACAAAGGTTGACATATCCAAGGGGGAAATCATGTGTGTCTTAACATTTTTCCTCGCCTTCATTTTATTTCTTATTATTAATTAAATAGCGTCAGATTTTCCACTTCAGACAAGTCAATTCTTCATGTTTGTTTCAGTCGCTCTGCAGTAATTGGAAATGTTCTGCGTAGCGTCTATAAATGCGTTCCATGCCTTGTCCTATGGGAGCACTTCCAGCAAGTACTTTGACTGCTAGTGTTGGCTTCTATAATTAGATAAACCACAAGTGTTTGTATCTGGTGCTTTAACATTTTCACTCATCACCAATTGTGCAACGATGCAGTTGTATGACCAGAATGCATGACCGTCAAATATTTAAAACATTATGTATAATATTTGATTTTTTTTAAATAAACCAAAATATACAAGAAACAATTATATTATGTACCTTTGAGGTGAAAGAAATTTGCTTTACTGTACAATCCTAGAATTATGTTCCCCATCCTGAAAATTCTTAATTTTGAATTACAAAAAAATAGCTTCCTACTTTACCCTCACATTGAGCTGGTCCCAAGTTACTGTAGAAATCAATTCTAGGAGATCTGTAGTGGCGGATCCAAGAATTCAAAGGGGCCGATTGAGGGAATTTCACTGATGGAGGATCTACACCTCCTTATCCCGACCATGGTTGGGGCTGAGGTAAGAGAATTTATGATTATGGCACTCTGAGACTTCAATTTGAATATAATTTTCATTTTTTTCTCCATTTTTCAATAATTTTGAAAAACTAAAGGAGAGGGATTATATTTTACGGAGATTCTTGCATGCTTGTCGGTGTAACAGAAGGCCGTCTCGATTTCCACAAGTTTCGATAAACCAGAAACCCCTGCATTGAGACTGATAACATCATGTACTACACATATTGAGAGTGATAACATCATGTACTACACACACTGAGAGTGATATCATGTACTACACACATTGGGACTGATAACATCATGTACTACACACATTAAGACTGTTAACATTGTGTAATATACACAATGAGAGTGATAACATTATATACAACACACATTGAGAGTGATAACATCATGTACTACAAACATTGAGAGTGATAACATCATATACTACAGTGTACACACATTGTGACTGATATTGATAACATCAAGTACTACACACTTTGAGAGTGATAACATCATGTACTATGCACATTGAGGCTGTTATTGATAACATCAAGTAATTACACATGTTGAGTGTGATAACATCATGTACTACACACATTGAAACTGATAAAGTCCCCAGAAACTCCAACAGTATAGAGATTGAAAGACTAATTCAACTGAATTTATAGTCTTATTTACAATCTTTAAAAACAATCCCTGACATGGGATATGGCACAGTGGTTGTTTTATGCACAGCAATAACTGCTACAGTCACCACCACCTTATTTTCTCATGGTTTAAACCGAACAGACAATACATAGATGAGCAAAATATAATAGGAATAATGGGAATTTGTACAATACATTTTGTCAATGGTTGGACTGGTACTGGCACCAGTCTGGCAATTATATTATTTTCCCTGGTTGTCCATTCCAAAAATTGATAAACTGGCACAAGGTGAAACCTTCTCCACATCCTTGGAGCTACACGTAGCCATGCTGCCTTGTGCACAAAACACAGTAGGCATGTTCACATAAGTTATTGTGATAAACTTATCATGATCTATTCATCATGATAACTTTAGATAACATCAAGTAATTACACATGTTGAGTGTGATAACATCATGTACTACACACATTGAAACTGATAAAGTCCCCAGAAACTCCAACAGTATAGAGATTGAAAGACTAATTCAACTGAATTTATAGTCTTATTTACAATCTTTAAAAACAATCCCTGACATGGGATATGGCACAGTGGTTGTTTTATGCACAGCAATAACTGCTACAGTCACCACCACCTTATTTTCTCATGGTTTAAACCGAACAGACAATACATAGATGAGCAAAATATAATAGGAATAATGGGAATTTGTACAATACATTTTGTCAATGGTTGGACTGGTACTGGCACCAGTCTGGCAATGATATTATTTTCCCTGGTTGTCCATTCCAAAAATTGATAAACTGGCACAAGGTGAAACCTTCTCCACATCCTTGGAGCTACACGTAGCCATGCTGCCTTGTGCACAAAACACATTCAAGACAACATTCTACCATATCCCACTCCTACAAATTTAGATAAAGTGCCTCGCTCAAAGTGCTTTGCTCAAGGATACAAGGTAGCGTAATTACTCCGCCAGTCACACCCGCAAATAAATTACACTTTAGAAAAGTTGAGGGAGACTATCACGGCGATTTATATAAACTGCTTCATTCGATAATTGTGGCAGTAGTAACACTGGGATTAAATATGTAGACCTACGGCTAACGAGATCTATTGCTTTGAGGGTAAAACTAGATTGTTAAAATTGGTTGTATTTGCCTTTAATTATCGATAACAACCACCACTGTTCATAACCTGAAATAAAAGGAGCATTTATGGCGATTCTATTTTTTTTAGTTAAAGTAAAAGGAAATTTTAATTAATGAAATGCTAAAAAATCTTTTCTTCGCCAATAACCAGAATAAATTTCATTTTATTAGTAAAACATCTACAATATAGCATAAAACCATGCTGTTTTAGACATTATTTGATTATATTAAATGAGTATTTCAGTAAGTTGGCTGATTTTTTATGGTTTTTAAAATTTTATTACAGATTAAACCCATAAATTATACTACCTGAATTGAAGTGCTCATTTGCAAGTAAAGATGGCAAATAGTTAATTAATGTCTACAAAGAAACTGTATGTCACCTTAGGCTACACTTAAAAGAGCCAAGATCAAGGACTGTCTGAAACTTCATTGCTCCTAGGCCTGCTACCAAATGCAATCCAAGTTTCCTAGGCATTGTGGTACCATATCACCATTTTACTGGCTTTTAAAACATACTCTAGAATCCCATAAAACCTACAGGGTTCTTAATGGTTGTATGTAAATTTATTGAGTTTCCAGGCAAATTAATCACTATTTCATAAAAGAAATAGCTACATAGTGCAGTGGTCTATAAAAATGGTGGTACCCTGTGTGTGTATGTGAGTAAAACGATGGAGATGTGAGTGAGTTTTAATAATTATTATTTTTTTTCTTTTTTTTTTTTTTACTTACAAAACTTAAATTATTAGTGAAAGTATCATAGGGATGCACAAGTTTTTTTTATTTAGTTTTTTTTATTGTGTTTTTGATTTTTTCTTTAGGGAGATGGGAGGAAGGAAGATGAGCTACTAGTGTACTCCTCCGACAATTTTCCACCCCATTAACAGTGGTAAAACAAAGAGGTTAGGGCCACTGGCTAAGGCTTGTTTGAGTCCCCTAGCCTAGGGGTTGTGTCCACATAGAAAGCCCATTTGGTACCCCTTGC